TGCTCCTTTGTCGTATTCGTACTCGTGCTCCCTGAACCGTGGCTTTCAAGACAATACCTAACCAGCGCAGTAGTGACCGCTTCATTTTGCATTTTTTTCTCTGCGCAATACAAAATATGTAAAATACAGAGGGTCTCTACATTAAGCTTCTTCTACTTCTTCTTTAAACCTGTAGTAATTATTTGAATTTTGTCGTTACGGAGCACTAGTAGAGGCTCGTTAGTAAAAAAACGCCTCGACGCCTCCAGATATCTAATTCCCCCCTAAAGCCATACATATCCTTTGTGTACAAGTTCCTCCCTGCGCACCAAAAAGATGAAAAGACAGAAAAGCAGCAAACGAAAAGAAAAAGGAAACTAAACAAATAAAGCAACCCGAATATGACTCTTTTTGAGTCCCCACATGGTTATAGTCTCTTCCGTAGCTTTTGTTCGTACCCGCTACTCAACCTCCGAATCAACCATGACCTCTGTCTTGTCCGCATCGTCAGCCTCCTCATCCCCAAGTGCTATGTTGTCGGCTTCTTCCATCTCCACATCATCCGCAATCGTAGCGTCGCCGTTGATATCTTTATCTTCTTTAGACGCACTGCCATTGACCTTGGGATTCGAACCATCGGCAGCGAGGTTGTCTGAGGCATCAACCAGAGTTTCATCGTTGGTAGTGTCATTGGCCGTCGCTGGCTTGGGTTTCTTTATTATAGGGATCACGCCGAGCTCGGCTTCGTGGCCCCTCCAACGGGCAAGACGCCGTGTTGACCGTCTAATGGCGGCAGCATACGAGCTCACCTCTTCTCCGTAGTCGTCTGCGTCAGTAGCCAAAAGGCAGAGGCCGCCGATGCCTCTCTCTCTGAAAACATTCTTTCCCTTATCCCCATTGACGGGCAAGCTGCGTGGAGTATGGTCCTCGGCGTCGCTGTCCTCGAAAGGATCAGCCTGAGCCTGTAGACGCTTGTATGTTCTCACAATGGCGCCCTCTTGCCGTCTGAGCTTCCTGCTTTTGTGATGATGTTTTCGCAGGCCACGATCTAGAATGTACTCTACTCTCTGGCTTCTATTTCGCTCAACAGCAAGTTGATGGGCTGTTGGGGGACGGGGCTTTCGGGCGACAACGCCGTCGGCTCCATGACGAGCTGGCGAAGAGCCCTCGAAGATTTGATACTTGAGAGGAGCAGACCTGTGTCCGTTAATAGCGGCAATTTTTCTGGCTAGCAATCTAGGCGGAGTCGATCGGTTGCTCTCCATATCAGACTCATGTTTCGAGGGTCTGATTCGAGGCAAGATGGCGGGGCCGTCGTCCGCCATCGATGGCCGCGTTTTCCCACGCTTCTCCCGCTCTGTCAAAAACTGATGGTCCATCTCCAAAATGGTCGCACGGATTTTCTGCTTCTCGTGGCCAAATTCTATTTCAACCTCTGGGTCGACGTTTTCCGCAGCTTCCTGTTCCTCGGACATTTCCTGAAGCTCAGGAACGCCTTGGTTGGCAACATCAACGCCGTAATCAACACCGGCTCCGAAAGGGTTCTCTTCACATCCTTCCTCGGTGAAGTCGGATTCTAGATAGAACCACATTAGCCACAAAAAGGCCTTGGCCCTAGACATGCTGGTGTATTGAGTTTTCATGATGACATCATGAAACTCGCGATGAGGTGGAAAGTGAAGCTCTGCGACCTTCAGCGCCGAGTTGCACATGACAAAGATGAGATTGACGGGGTTGGTGCGCGGGATGTCGTGTTGCTTAATCTTTTCTAGGGAATTCGGCTCTTCTCTGTCTTCTGCGCCGCCTTTTAAGATGGACTTGAGTCGTGGGGCATCCTGTAACTGCTTGTAGGCGTGAGGGTCTTGCTGTGCCTGCAGAGAAGGGATAGCGTGGTATGTCCGCAGTTGTGCTCGCATCTCAGGAAAGACTATACGTTAGAAAGGTGTTGGTTAGCTTTTGGATATGCGTTTTAGGCCTCGTTACAATGGGGTAAATGAAAGCTCACAATTGAGTGTAGTGTTCATGCGGCCCATGTTGACCAGCAAGCAGACCATGGCCATGCCTTTGGCAGCTTCTCGGTCATTCATCAGCTTATCCCTGAGCACCTTGCTTGTCTTTGAACTTCGAGCCATGGTATCGATGTACAAGTCGGCGAAGCACTGCTTCTCCAGTTCGGTGTCGTAGGAGTTGGTGAAGACCTTTTGCTCATTGTCAAAGACGGCCCTGAGAAAGTCGTACTGGATATCCTTGCGCCAAAGAGGCTCTCCGTCTTCCTTCTTCAAATGCCTAATTTTGCCAATCAATGACTGCGCGTCCTTGTCCTTGTCCTTGTCCTTTCCTCTGCCCTTGCCCCTGGCGGGCTTTTCAGCGGCCTCAGAGGGCGTTGCAATGATGGTGTTGTCTTCGTCGTCAAGATCGGCGCGCGAAGCGATCGATTTGCTTTCCGCTTGGGCAGGAGAACTCGGCTGCTCTACATCGGACGTGGCGTCCATGGAGCTGGGCGAGGCAGCCATGGTGTGGAAGCAATTCGTTGCTGCTGACTCTGACTACGCCGAGATTGGTTGAGGCAAAAAGAAGGGGGATAAAAAAAGCAGAAATGCGGCGTTCGTTTGCTTCTTCGTCTTTGTGATGGAGGACGGTATTAACGACGCATGGTTCTGATTGCGAAAGTGCAAGGAGGATTTCAACTTGGCCGAATAGCGCAAGTCGAACCGTGGAGGCCGATGGTGATGCGGAATGCGGAATGCGGAATGCAGATGGTGGTGATGAGGAGGCCGCGCGGTGGTGAGAGACGAAGGGATGGACGATACGGATGCAAAGTGGGAAAAGGTTGGCGATTGGCGTTTCCACCGACAAGCTAGGTCTACAAAGTACTCGGGAGGCAATAAAAGCTGAGGTCAAGCACGAGGCGCACGCACGCGCATCGCTAATAAGGCTAGCAGGATAAGCCAAAATCGCCCTGCGATGGCTGACACGACCGTGGCCTCGCCCTAACTGCGGTTGTCGGAGGCGTGCCTGCAATCTACAGGTACACGGGCGCAGTTCCTTGCAGCCAGGTACATGCTGCATCTGGCATGCTCTGCTAGGTGCTGTATCGTCAGGCAGTCAGTGGCTTCTTCAGTGGGCGCGCGCTGGAGATGGCCGCTAGACGCAATTGATTTCAACGGGCCCAGCCTTTTTACTGCAGACAGGCCAGCCACTCAGCGCAGGCCCGTGCATGCCTGCAACTGCCGGGCGGTGCCTGGGCTTCCGTGCAGCCCCCGGTCACTTCTTCGCAGTTGCTCTCACGACGTGCCTGCAAACATAAACAACCTCTCAGCGACGAGCATCACAAGCTCATAGGCCGCCCCGGCCACCGCCCCCCCTTCCCGACGCATCTTTTTTTACTAACCCATAGGAAGCTTCAAGACTCGTCTTCGAGAGCTTTGCGCTGGTAGCTGGCGCAGATCTTTTGTTCGTCCACCACGCCTTCATCCCTCGCGCTCAAGTTTTTTTTTTTCTTGCCGCCCTTCTTTGCGCCTAGCCTCACGAGATCGGCCCAAAGCTTACCAACAGCCGCATCAGGAAATCGAAAAGATACATTCGTCTTGTTTCACCGCCAGCCGCCTTCTTCCCCCACACGGATTGTTTCTTCGCAACTCTAACAGCACAATGTCCGCGGCTCTGGCTAGGGTGAGCACGCCCGTGAAGCAGGTCGCGGCGACCCCAACTGCGAACAGCCCAGGCACTTGGAGACATCCTCGACTTCACGAAATCGCCAGGCGCCGTGATGCCTCAAACTTCTCGGAGAAAAATGTGCGGCGAATAATCTATAACATCATTGCCTTGCTGCTGATGTGGTCCGTCCATCTGCTGGCCAAGTTCAAGATTGACGCGCAAATGTGAGATAAAACCGGGCAGAGGACCATGGGAGCGTCCTGGCATGCAATTGGTGTAGTATTTTCTAACAAGAGATCGACGATTAGGTTCCCCAAGTCGTTTCGACAATACTTTGGCTGGGCGTGGTTCCTCATCCAGCTGGTCCCCTTCATCCAGATTGGCATGGCATGCCTGCCGCTTGTCCGTCCCAAGGACGAGCTCTCCGATATCCCGTTGACGGCTGCCCAGCGGAAACTGCTGGGACTCAACCCGACAGCTGTCGCAGCAACTCCCGATGCAAAGTTCAGCACCCCGCCGCGATATTCGCGAACGCCGTCCATTGCGGGCTCTGTTGGCAGCAGAGCTAGCTACAACGGCTCCCCTCTCGAAGGACGAGGAAGCCCTGTCCCCTTTTCTCTATCTCAGAGCTTTGCCGGCTCAGTCTCCCAATTCTCCCCTAACACCGTTGGAAGCCCTCTATCGCAGAGTGTCAATGGCATGGGCCACAGGAGATCTTCTTTTGGGTCACCAAGCTCCTTTAGCAGCTCCTTCAATGGCGGCAACTTTGGCGCGAGCACCTCGTCAAATATCTTTTCTGACCCCGCCTCACCAAGCCCATCAGCAGGTAAGAGGACAAGCATTGGGCTCAATAATAAGTGGCTATACGAGAAGGGAAGAAAGCCCTCAGGGAGCACTTGGGTTTATTGATATGAAAGAGAATCGCTTGGCTTTGGAATTTCCTTTTTATCAATTGGCATGATTGGGGAGGGAGATGCTGCCGTCTCTCAGGGTTGGACGCATAAAGCAGAATGGCGAGTGCCGTTTTGTGGGCTGGCATGCCTGTAGGCAGCATTGTATAGACCGGCGCGTCTTTATGATAAACGTACGTAACAACAGGTATATGGTAATCAAGCTATCTCCTTTAAAGTTACATGCTTGCCAGAATTTCCACTGCGTTGACGTGCCCTCAAGGCTAGGGAGCCTATTCACACACTCGACGAAGCCGGGATTCATCAGACGCATATGAAACCAACAGCAAATGTGAGTACATCTATTAATAGCCGTGAGAGAAGAAGAAGCTCTGCTGACAAAATAAATAAAAATTCAGAAGCGGTAGTGGTAGATCTCTCACCCAACATGCTCAGCAAAACGGCAAAAAGAGATGCGCGAACCGGGACTCGAACCCGGGTCGCATGCTTGTACAGCTCGAGGCCTGGGAAGCATGCATGCTAACCGCTACACTATTCGCGCCGATGATGTAATAGGCTTATCGCAAAATTCTCTCTTTACACATTATATACGAAAGATCTAATTAGCTTATCGGAATCGTAGCTGCGTCGCCACTTGACCCCTCCATCTCGTGCACCATAGCTCTCCCAAGCCACTTCTCCCCTCCTACAGCTCGGCATATAGACCATTCGTGGCCTTGAACGCTTCTTCTTCCCGTAAAAGCCACTTCAAAGAAAACCCCCTCTCTAAGCCTTGCTGGAGCTGTGTCTGTGTCGTCCACTCTTCCACCATGGCCAACAAAGTCGACCGCATCGTCGCCCGGCTGCAGGAAAAGATCGCCGATGGCGACTTTTACGAAGCGCAGCAGCAGACGCGAGTCGCCGCCTCCCGCTACATCAAGACGCAGAACTGGCCTGCCGCCATCGACATTCTCTACAGTGTCGCGCAGTCGCTGCTCAAGGCCCAGCAGGGCGGCAGCGGAGGAGACCTGTGCGTCATGATGCTGGACGTGTATAAGCAGGCTGAGCTGAAGCCTGATGCGACGAGCAAGGGGAGGCTGTTGACGTGTTTGCGACTTTTCGACCCGCTGGAGCCTACGAGGAAGAAGTTTATTACTGAGAGCGTGGGGTGAGTTGATGAAGTAACATTTGAGGTTTTCATATGTTTTATATTATATTATTTTATTTTTTGGTGGCGGCCTTCTGACTGACTCTGGGCTGCTGTTAGATGGTCTGCCAAGTTCGGCGAATACCCTGCTGGCGATCCTGAATTACATCATGTTGCCGGTTCACTATATGCAGAGGAACACGAGACATACGAGGCCGAACGGCACCTAGTATTGGGAACAAAGGACTCTCCCGAAGTACTAATCAACATGGAGTACGCCTGGTACAAAGAAGGAGACGCCCATATGGCACCGCACTTTGCAGCTCGAGCCGTCCTCCCCTATCTCCTTGTCGGCAACGTCCGCGCCGCAACTTCAACCTACCGCCTTTTCATCAGTGCCCTCACAAACGACAACCCGGCTCTCGGCGTTCAAGATGTCTCCAGCAACACTTCCGACATTCGAATCTTCCCCAGCTTGCCGCTGCTCAACTTCCTGGGCCTGCTGCTACTGGCCATCCAGCGAGGCGCTCCCGAAGTCTACAAGGGCCTGATTTCCAAGTATGCGTCGCACATAGACGAGGCAGAGGCGTGGGCAGAGCCCCTAGAGATGATTGGCGAGATGTACTTTGGAATACAGAAGCCAAGACAGAGCAATCCTTTGATGGACATGATGAGCGGGCTGTTTGGCGGAGGCGCCGCAGCGCCGCCCCAGCAGGCCCGACGACCGGGGCTGCAAGCTCCTGCTGCTGAGGGGCTTGACTAGACTAAAGCTCTGTCTTGCTGTTTTCTTTTCTTCTTTTTGTTCATATCATGGGTTCGGCAGCGACGAATAGGATAAAAATCAGTGATGTATCATAGACACAACCGGCGTAGGAGGGATAGAAAGGGAGGAAGCATAACACAAAAAAAAATGATGATCAAAACATCGATTCCGTCGTCTCATGGTATGCGCGGCTGCTCTTCTGGTTCAAACATCCAGTTGTCTTCAGCTAAAGCGTTGACCTTGGCTCTATTGCTCTCACGCACAGCTTCGAAGAGGGCTAGTGATTGAACAAGTCAGCCCAGGACCTTTGTTTAAAGGAACACATCCTGAGAGGGCAAAGTAGAAGTGCATGTCGTTTACTTACCGTCAGGCTGATCAGCTATAGAGCTGTGGCTGATTTGATAATGTCGAATCGCCTCTGCTAGACGCTGTTTCTCCCCTACAGATCCATCCTTAGCGCGTCTTTCTCTCCCTCAATATCACAGAGGTTAGAAAAAAGTAGAACAAATTTTTTTTTTTAAAAAAAAAAAAAAAAAAAAAAAAAAAAACATACTTTCATTCTCCTGCTGATACTCCAACGCCTGCAGCTCCTCCTCATCATCCACCACCGGCGTCGGTGGATTCCCAATCTCCACCTCGCCATGCTGGTCTCTCACAACAAGGTCCGAGGCCTCAGCCCGCGGCGTCATCTCCGCGTCCGGGCGCACGCCGTCCGCTGGCTCGGCCGAGGGAGCGTTTGGCCGCCTGATGAAGTGGCTTCGGAAGAGGCTCGTCTTGCTGCTGTTGCTGGAGCCGCCACCGCCGCTGGGGACATTTGCCAGGCCGGAACTTCTGGTGGTGCGTGACCCGTTGAGGGCGGCAGCGCTTCGAGTGCGGTCGCTCATCTCTTCCCGTATTTTTTTTTTCCCTTTTCCTTTTCCTTTGCTCTTTATTTGGAATTCATTTACATGCACAAGTCAAATGATAACAGTGCGGATAAAGTACTATGCTGTAATGCCTCTTAAGATGATTGACAGGGATGCTAGTGGACGCAATGAAGAGTTATGAAATGGATATCAAATTCAAAAGTGAGGTTGTGTTTATAAAACAAGAAAATGCTGTACCGGGCAACTGAGGGCGGTTACAGGGGCGGCTAGCGCTAGCAGTGACAACTGCGTTTGAGTGCCTAGCGTTGGGTGCCTTTCAGCAGCAATGCCGCCATCAACTGCATCTAACATTCCACCGTCACCTATGGATACCTAGTAGTATTGAATCACTCGCTACAAGAATTACGATATTCTCCGATTGAAGCAAGAAGAAATCACAAATATCAATGCATTGGTGATCTCTTTTTATCGTATAATATAAACATGGCCAAAGTTCAGATTGATACATCAAACTAGTCGTTTCGACTCATACAAGAAAACAAGGGCTCAGATCATCATCAACTGCGCTCTGATAGAGTGTGCATGCGCGTTTGTTTGCCAAAAAAGATGAAAAAAAGAAATCCAGACTCTCCCTAAGAGCCTCCAAGTTACGCCCGTGATCCCAAGATATGCGCCCGACACTCGCCCCCCCTTCATTTGCACGCAGCGTAGGTTTCAGTTCAGTTCAGTTCGGTTCAGTTACAGAGAAAGGTTGTAGGAGTACTCGTCCTCCATGTTCTGGCTGATCCATAGAACGACAGAGCTAAGCACACACACACAAAGATTAGCTGATTCCAAACACAGAGTAGAAGCGGGCTAGCAAAGTTTATACGTACCTGAAACCCACCAGAGCGTTGCTAACCAGGTTCTCAATACCCATGCTCAGAGCCGGCATGCCGACGCCCGGGACGACGAATTTGAGGACAAAAACGGTGACACCTCCGGCCATGCCGCCCGCAAGAGCCGCGAATCCCAAGAACAAGACAACACGCGCCTTCCATGCGACACCAGATCCGCTATAGCTGAATGAGTCGGTGCTGAGGCGCTGTTTCTCGACCGAGTTGATGATGAGCATGCCCAGGCTGGAGAAGATGAGCGGCAGCCAGTCGACGAATTTAACGTGGACGTTGGATCCGTTCTTGGCCGACTTGGACCAGACAGCGGAGTCGAGCATAACGTAGAAAGCGATGGAGAACTAATGAATAGAGAAGCGCATACGTCAGCTAGCGGTCCTTTTCAAAGGCGAAGACGGTCACGACCGGCATCGAGGCATTTTCTAATTGTCCAAGAAAGCCCAGGAGATTATGTTTGCAGAATACGGATAAAAGACATGAGGAGGAACTCACCAGAGCTCCGGCGGCATAGACGCCAGCGTTCCGAGCCCACATGCTGTTCAACCACTCGGGTTTCCTAAACTTCCAAAGGCGCTCTTCCTCCATGGTGTCAGGGTCGCGATGGTAAGGACCTGGTTTAAGGGTAGAAAAAATATCAAGCAGCGAATGTGGCGGATGATGGCGCGCTGAACCGAGACCCAGCTGGCGATAGAATGGAGCGGCGTTGAGAGGATGGGCTTGCTGAGGCTTCTTTTGAATGGTGATGACGCTTTTGGGGAAACGCTGGGATGCCGGCGGTTGCGCAAGTCTGGGCCTGCGCTGGGGCAACGTCAGAGTCACGTGCGTAGCGTGCTGAGCGGCGTCAGCTGGGCGGGTGCCACTGTTTAGAAGTTGTTTTTGAAACGAGGTGATGCGTGAGAGGAGAGTGAATTAAATCCCGACATCATCATTATTTCTATATTCATTGAATATAACGTATTATTAGGCATCGATTTGTATTTACTCATATTCTCATCGTCGGTCAGATGTTTGCCGTGCAATTGGCGTCCTTTCTCTCTCTCACCCAGTAATCTGCTGAGCGCGCCCACTTTCCATCTATCATAGATACCGTCTGTCGCGGACCTGTATTCGCCAAGTCCGCACTCCATCCTCTATCCGCATCGAGAACCTGCAGGTCCCTCATTGCTAGACTCAAAGAAGCATCTCAACATGTGGAGAATTTTCTTTGGTTCTCGCAGCAAGGACAGCCCATTCGCTATCGTGATGCTTTTGTGGCGCCTGCCAGACAGATGGTGCCTGGGCGTCTCTGCACGTCCTGCGGTAGCGCTCCATAGTCCAGACAGCAGAAGCTTATTATACATGACATGTTGCGGCAGGATGCAAAGTTGAAACAGTGGACGCCATAATGTAGTCTTTGTCATGGCTAAAAAAGCGAATTGTTATTCAGCGCGCCCCAGCTAAAGTTGTAAATTACAATTACCGACATGCATTCTAACCTTTTACTGCCCCTGCCGCCTCTGCTATTTTCAGGTACCTTAGGTATTTTATAAACTACTTGAATCTACATAGAGTGGACTGATCTTGTCATCAAGTCACGGCTGGAGTGCTGGATAGCAAAATCAGGACGTTGAATAATAATTTCAAAATCGCCGCAACCTTAATCGTTGATATCTCGTCCAAGTGTGTACGGCCAGTTGCCCACTCACTCTCTCCAAATCCTGGTCTGGACATCATTCCCAAGATAGCAGCCGCTAACCACCAAGGAAAAAGAGCATCCCCGCGCACTGTAAGGACCTTCCTGTTACCAGGCCGATACGAGCTTTTTCCCAGTGTGTTGAGGGGCCGTGCCCAGCCTCTCCCGCCGCCCTGCCGCCTGCCATTGGCGTTGCATTCCAGCGCCCGTACAGTGTGCCA